CTTGGATATAAATCAAAAGGTGTAGTTATCGTGAAAAATAGCAAACATACTGCTACAGAGGCAGTACAAGAGGAACTGCTGCCGTGCAGATAAAAGAATAAGAAGAGAAGATAAAGAGGGAATTAACATTGCATACCTGCGTATCCTTGCAGCTCTGCCTTTCTTCACGACTAGAAATCACAGCTGGTAGTTTTGTCCCTGCTGCAGCTCCACAGGGGCTGTGATGGAAAAGTCAGCCTTCTTTTCCTTACTTCCTCATTTTCTTCTCACTTTGGCATTTAGACAGGGGGATCACCAGCATGTTTTTTTTCTTCTCAAAAATGTGTTCAAAAATGGATCCAAAAGAAGCAGAGTGGAGGCTGAAGTCGAGGGAAAGGAATCCCAGTGAAGAACATGAAGACGCTCTGTTAGTTCAGTAACTTATGTGGTTTGGACTGGTTTGAGTGTATGTGTTTAAATATGAATATGTATGTGCATGTGTGTGTAAGGCAGAAGTGGGGGCTGTATATTACTGGTCTGTCTGGCGATTAACTGGGCTGCAGATCTCCCACTGAGAACCACAGCAGAATGGAGGGCGCAATGTGTGTGTGTGTGTGTGTGATGCATGCATCAGTATATGTATTTGTTGACATCTTTATCCACAAGTCCCTTCTCACTCACGCACACACGAGCCACAAACTCATATTGAAAATCAAGTCCACACATTATTTGCCAAGCAGAGTTTTCCAATATTCTCTCGGAGCAAGAAAACTGGCACAGCCATTAATCACTGCTTAAAAACAGGAGACCTAATGTTGGAGTCTGCGTGTGTTCATGGCACAGATTTTCTTGATTTTGATGGAAGATTCTGAGCTGCAGAAGAGCAAGTTGATGGAACACAAAAACATCTCCCTCCACTGGGATCATCATCTTTCTTCCCTCTCCTTGGTTCTCCTCCTCTCCCGGTTGGTCGTCTCTCTGCTGAGTCAGAGACATCATCAGCCTGAGTCACATTTTCCATCTTCAGATTTCTCAAGAAATAATGAATCTCACAGATGTGTGCACGCACATGAAAGTGCCTGTAGCCATACAAACACACCTAAATACCTCTGTCCCTCATTCCCGCCAACACACAGAGACACAAACAACACAATTCCAACCAATTTCCCATTTGGAGATGACCAACACTGAATAGGAACAGACACTATGTTTGTTGGAGGCAGATGTGATCTGTGCTCGGAGTCAGAGAAAGTGCAAAAGTAATGAGGATGTAAAAAAGGAAAGATTTGGGGAGATTATTTTCAAAGTCCAACGTGACACATGGACTGATACGCCTCGTGGAAGGCACAGTCTGTTCCACTCTGTCCGTCTTTCCCTGTGTTTAGGGAGAGGAACTAGTTTATTAGAGGCCCCTCCACCTGCTGCCCCAGAGAAGTAAAAGTGAATAAAGGGTTCAGGTCTACTGCTGCCTGGAAGCAAAGGTGCAAAAGCAACCAGAGAGCACTTTATTGAACAGAAGAAAAGAGGATGTAGAGTCCATTTGAAAGAATAAATGATCCAATTGTTCATTTATGTTTTCAAATGGACTCCAAATAACAACAAGGGCAAAAACTTCAGTGTCGGACTGCCCAGAAAATACCCTGGTGTTGGCACCGAAACCTTAAGCATGTATTGCTCAGAGAATTACACAGGCTTAAAGTAAAAGGATTTACGTGGAAGGGAAGTTACCTGGAACAATTGTGGTGAATGCTGATGGGCAAACCGGTAATAACATGAGAAGAATACCCTGCTGGATCTGCACCACATGGATGAAGAGATCGATGTTCCTGATATAAGAATACATCTGTAACAAAAAGAAAAGAAAAGTTAAGTAAAAACCAAGACAACCAAAACATGTTGCTGTGAACACATAAGCTAGTCTTATTTTAAACCTTTAAAACTATAAGTTTATATTTCAGTTACGCTCAACATATTTGAAATGTGTTGTTTGATTTGTCTGTTGACCAACAATTAAATAAAAAAAGAATAACTTTTTGGACTGAACTATTGTTTTGAAGAGGAGGAAAAGTCAATTCCCAGCAGTCAGCACGAAAGACACACAGTTATCAAATGGCTTCAGAAAGACAAGAAAGTTGTTTAGAAAAAATACACACTGTGCAGATAATATATCAAAATCCTTTAAAAATTAAGATATGTCTAAAGAGCATAGAAAAACTGACACCAGTGAAGAGCTGAGTATTTTTGTACACTTTGAGACTGGAGTAAGAGTAATGCACTGGGGATGCTTCAGTGGTTTTCAAACTGTGCAATGGTTGAAAGATACATTGAAGTCAAAGCAAAGGCAAACTTCAGTCTGTGGCAGAAAAACGTGTTCTTCACAACAGTTTTCTTTCTTTTTTTGCTGAACGTATCGACTTGACGCGTACAGTGAAGAACAATCTCCAGAAGAGCGTGTACAATTGACTTTCTGCCTTTTGCATCATCACAGTTTGCCACAGTGTTAATCCTTACAGTCATTTGGTGCAGCTTCTGAGCTGGGTGCCTTTCCTAATGGTACTGGGTGGGTGGGTTTGGGGGGAATTGAACTTGGGGGACACACAAAGAAAACATGCCAACTGCATCCACACAGACCTAGGTCACCAGCTGGAATCTAACCATTGATGTCTTTGCTGTAAGGCAAGAGCACCCACCACTTCACCACCATGGTGCGCACTTTTTCTGTGTTCTGCATGTCAAATCCTACTAATGTTAACGCCAATGTCGGCCACTGTGGGTCAGTCAAACAGGAGAGAGTGTAATCCAGTAATCACATCATCCAATATTCTGCAGATTAGCTGTATGCACGCACTGACAAAGGAGGCTCTCGTCTCCATTAACACTATACACTCCCTTATTTAGTGAAGGGAACAGAACCCACGCATGGGGGTCTTATCCCCTACCATCTACCGTTGCGCACTGGCGCACGCACAATATGAACTCCACATCACTTTGGATGGCGTAGCCGTGTGACGGTGCGACAGTGCAGGTCAGTGCTCAGCAGGTCTGCGCACCCCGGGCTCCTGCAGCTCAATTAGCGTGACATACTTTCTCTTGCAGATCTGCTCCTTCCTGTCTCTCTGGATACAGCGGATTATGTCTGCTAACACCGGTGCGCACTTCCCACAAGACTCAGACACGCGGAGAGCGTCTTCCCCTCCTCCCGTCTGCCGCCGCTGCACAAAACACGACTCGTGCTTCACTGGGATATGACCGAGGATGGAGACATGGCTGGGTTCAAACCTCAGAAGGAGATCGTCTACAACGGCCTGCTGCCTTACTCTGACCGCTTGGACCAGGAGGCCACCGAGCTGCTGGCAGAGATCAAGGCCAATCTGTCCAGAGCTGTTCTCCTCAGAGAGCTGTGGCCCGGAGTCGCTTTTTGGTCCAGGAAACTCTTCTCGTAAGTGTTGGAGCAAAGACACATGACTGCACAACCGACCTCAAGTCCTACCACAACATCAGTCACACATGGGAATAATAAAGCTAGTCTAAATGAAGTTTTTTGACCGTTATTGGAGCACTGATACCTAAAACCACACATCTGAACAAATTATTATAGTGCTAGGTCAATGCCTTTATGGTGGAGTACCAAGAAATATGTAATTAAAGTGTTTAGTTCCAAGGTGATAATAATATAATAATAGTCACCAATAACTATTTAAAATGACAAAAAAAATAACTTTGGCAATATTATCATCCAATAATATATAGGGAATACACCCAGAGTAAACCATGTATTACAATATTCAAATAAAAGGTGCACAGCATAAAAATGTCATTATAATGAGTCAAATCCAAAACCATCATCTCATCATCTGAGGAGGACTCATTCATACAGAGTACCTCTTGAAACCAAGTGGAGTACTGTGAATTGATTTTTCAGGTGCTCCCTTTGCAGTCCCAGCTTGCAGCGAGACAGCTTTACTGTACGATAACACCAAGAATTGTCATGATCAAAATATCTTTTCACTCTACAGTAGATATTCGGGCTGATACCTTACAAATGAACAGACAAAAAAGAGAACCTCCGTGGTTCAAGCAGCAAGCACAAACTATGTGTCGGTGAAGACAAGTGAATAAAAAGGCCTATTAACATGAAGAAATCTCTGGACTCAGACAAGTGCAGCCATCTGTCTCAGCCAATTTGGGTGAAAGGGAGAATGGGGGTGGGGGGGGTGGATGGGGAGGAAAGTGGTGGAGATAAAAGAGAGTGAATGGAAGTAGACGTCTGACTGTTGGATTTAAGTAGTTTCAGCCGTAGTGTTATTAAATCATCCTATGCAGTACATTAAATATACTGCTGTTATTAAAAACAACAACACATAGGGACTACATAGGATGGCCACCAACTCCAACACAGCAAGGATCAACTTGGAGAACCTCAGTGGTTTTAGAACATTTCCTTTCACTGAGGCGACAGCATCTTTGTGCTGATACTGTTGGGCTGGTGTCTTCCTCTCAGCTACTATGTCTGCCTTAAAGACAGCCTCAGGGCACTATGTTCCGCCCATTAACTTTAAATAACGTCAGGACTTTTAATTCACTTTGTTTACTTGGCATCCTCTGCCGTGCAGTGAGGTCAGACGAGGCTCGTGGTTGAGACTTGGGGCCAACGTTGATGCAGTGTAGCGACTGCTAAATGCTGCAGGAGCTCAATGACGTTCACCTCTCGCCCTCAGGTTTCTGAAGCTGTACGGCCGGAGGTTCAGTAAAGAAGACCACATTCTCTTTGTCAAGCTGCTGTATGAGTTGGTCACACTGCCTAACCTGGAGCCCCACATGATGCAGAACTACGCCCAGCTGCTGATTCACCTGCTCAAGTGGGTTTAACGCAAACACCAACACACGCACATGCAGAACAGTGTCTGAAAAAGTGTGACCACTACCATATGCATGTCTGTGTGAGACCACGCTCTTCAGAAAGGTGGTTCTCAGTTCTACCTGTCTTGAATCACCTTGAAGGCTGACGGAGACAGGACGTAGCCTGTAAAGCCTGTTGGTTGGTCAATTAACATTTTGACTTTTGACGTGATAATGCAGATTACTGCTGCGGAGGGCCTCCTGTGTCCTTTGGTATCCTTCAGTCTAATGAGATGACACAGAGACAACACACACCACGGTTTGGAACACAGCCACTCAGAACAGACTACAGGGTTAGGAAACACAAGGTGATAAACTGAGAGACTCACCATGTCCATGTCAGCTTCCAAGTTGTAGAACGTGTAGATGGCTGAAAATCTGGATCTAGATCAGGTGACATAATAAGTGAGACAACAAACACATCATAAATAATAATAATTAAGTGAGACAATATGAATCTGGGATGTTTTGAAAAGATCAATGGAGTATGTTAAGACAATCAGACATTAACAACATTCTTCTCCTTTTATTCTTCACTTTTAGGGGGTCACAAATCTATATCATGACTGATTCAATTATTTTTGTTTAAATGTTTTTCCTTAAATATTTTATTAATTCACTTAATGGAAAATCATTAGGAGTGTGTGTGTGGTAGGGTCATTATGAGGCACATCGATGAAATAGACACAGCAATGATGAGTAACAGAGATTGTTGCATTAATCTTTGCCGCTCACTTCTGTGCCTTCCCCTGTGACAACGGGACATCTTCCCAGACAGTCGCAATCACCTCGTCCCATTTGTCTCCACTTGTTTCCACCATTTCTTCGTCCATCACCAAACAATGCCTTTTATGCAAATGTCACTCGCTTGAGTGTCTCCATTAAATGAGAAGAGAAATGTCTGTGTTAACTAGATATTAAATACCAGGTTTCACACCTGAGAGATGAATTTGTTGTCAATTTAATACAGATGGTCTCAACACAGGGTTCCCCCCCGCCCCCCTTTCCCCTCATTTCACTGTCAGCCTGTCTTTCCTTCATTTTTTAAGTCTCCCTGCTGAGACTCTGTTCCATAGCTGTTGGATGGATGAGAGAAAAAGAGAAAGAGCTGAGGAATGTGTGGAAACTGCGCATTCTCTCCAGAGCAGGGACTCTCCACTTTTCAATCATGATTACTGTTGCTAAAATCCACAAAAAAAGAGAAGCACTGACTACAGAAAGGAAGGGTCACAAAGAAAGCAATGTGAAGTTTCTCAGAAGAATCACTCGTTTAGGTAAAACCTACCAAAATGATGAATTTTAAAAACAATGTTCCCTTCGTAAAAGCCTTTGTTATTCATTTAACCATCAATGGTCTGCAGCTGTCAGTGCAGCTCAGCTGCAGTGAAAATAAAGACTTGCAGTGTGGTGTTTGCACACTTGTCTGAAGGTTTGCAGTTGTCACGTAGACAACAGCCTGTGAAGCACTGACTAAACATTACTCACCTTTTCAGACGGCCTGCACTTTCTCATGTTAATTCATTGTTATAAATATTACTGTAATGTTGATGTAATGTCAACATCTGGGGTTTGACTTGGGTTTGTGTTTCTAAACAGAAACATGTGGTTTCTAAATTTGTCGCAATCACTGACTTGAAATACAGGTATTTATTGCACATACTATAAAATAATTCTTAAAACGAAGATCCAAAATATAAAATAAAATCTATAAGCTTCACAGAGTTGGTTAGTGCTCCTGTCTTACAACAAGATCACCAGTTATGAGTTCATGTTCTGAGACGTTTCACCTCTCATTTTTTTGGATGATGTCTTCAAAAAAAAAGTTGTAAAACTCGATGTAACTATTTGGCCTGGCTGACTGAGAACCTACACAGACATGTTAGTGTGACTGGTGGTCTCTACATGTGGTCAAAATGAACGCAAAACTATGTTATAAACAGGAAGAAGGAACTTCTGTCCAGAGATGACCTCCAGCTGCCCTGGCGTCCACTCTATGACCTCTATGACAGGGTGATTTACTCCAAAACTGAGCACCTTGGACTCATCTGTTTCCCCAGGTCAGTAGTTCAAACATTCTGACAACTGTAGCCCTGTAATGACCCTAATGAAGTGACAGATAGTGGATGGATGGATGAATGAATGAATGAATGAATGAATGAATGAATGAATGAATGAATGAATGGCGTGTCTGATCCTTATACCTGTTATTATAGATCATTTGGATTGAGCAGCTGTGAAGTGTTGCCAGTATTTATTGACTGTAACTTGTTGAACCCAATTAGACCGCGGCTGTACAATCCACACACCTCGTCTCTGTGCTTGTTTACAGCTCTGTGGATCATATTCTAAAGGCCTTGATCAAAAGCACCAGACTGTGAGTCTAATTCCCTGTGATCGTGTCATTTGTACTCCTGATCTTTTCTTTTTTTTTTTACTTTGATCACACCGTGCTGTGTACTCGTGTACGTGTGTGTCTGCCTGCACCTGTTTGTACTACTGCCTGTGCTTTTGATAAGTCTTTGTACTGAATGTGTGTGTGGTTGGTGTGTGTGTGTGTTTGGTGTCACCTTTGCAGGTATTTCCCAGAGTCATCCACCAAGGAGATGCTGGATGAGTGGCGCCCCCTTCTGTGTGTGTTCGATGTGGTCATGCAGAAGGCCATCAGTAACATGGAACTGTTCCTGCCCACCATTATGCCTCCAGAGGAACACAGCCAGGGCTTCAAGTGAGTGTAGGTTTGGACAATGAGTGCTGCATTTCAGAAAGTGAATAGAAGAAGAAGTCAGGTCGTGAAAATCAATACAGCACCATAGTCACCACTACATGTGCTACTACTATTCAACACCACCATAGTGGTAAATTACTATTATTGTTAGTAAACACAAATAATGTATGTACAATAGATGGCAATATAAAAAAGAAGATCTTGGGACATTTAAGTCATCACATTTAAGTAATGCAAACAAAACTGTCTTTATTTTGAAGTCATTTTAAAAAATTATATCACGTCGTCTCACGGTGTATCGTGTCATAGGACCTGTGGCGTTCACATTTTAAATATTAATGCACTTCCTGTGGCAGTAGTGTCTTATGTTTTTGTTTACTTATATTTTTCTTTATTTGCCCTTTCTCCTCGTCCCTCCACCTCCCTCCACCTTTTACAGTTGTGGCTGCCAAGTCTTTTCACTGTACGCACTGCATCCTTTAGTATATTCACTCTTTGAAAGTTATTTGTCTGGATTTACTCCTGGTTTCATCAGCGGTTTCTGCAGTTTCCACAATACATCATCTTTAACACTTCATTTTTCCACTTCAGTTTTCCCCCTTTCTCTCCCTCTTACTCTGGGTGTGTGAGGAAGACAAAGAAGGAGGGGTGGTTAATATTTTGGGAAATCAGAGATATATGAAACGAATAAAGCCCCAGGTGTGTGTGTGTGTGTGTGTGTGTGTGTGAATATAAGTATAAGTGTAAGTAAAAGAAATCCTGTGTGTGTTTTTAGGTTGTGGTTTGATGAATTAATCAACCTTTGGATGGCAGTGCAGAATCAGCCGAGCTGGGAAGGGGTGAGACATGCAATATTAACACACACACAGCATTTTGAGCTGTTACCAGTTAGAGACACTACCTTCCAAGTCTTCTTAAAATTGAGTTTTAGCAAAGTAGAAGTTGATGAAGATTCTTCCCATTATTTCCTCACTATTTTCCTTATCTGCAAGCCATGAGAAGAATTAATGAAAAAACTTTGAACCTTTAGCCCAGTCGTGTATTATTTTTTATTTTCTGTCAATGATTAATCAGTGGTGGATACAAAGATACATTTACATTTTTATACGATGATGATTTAATTGTTGACATGTAGCGTTTGTTCAACTTGACTCCAGGCCCCAAGCAGCCTGCTATGCAAACATCTTTTTATTTTTTATTTACTTTTTGGAAAGGCAGCATTGAATTCTGGCAAGATTCTTTGAACTGTTCAGTGACTTGAATGAATTTGAATTCTTTTTTAGCACCTAGTGAACCTGTTTGCGCGACTTGCCAACGATAACATCGGCTACGTGGACTGGACTCCTTATATTCCCATGGTGAGTTAGGAGCATCAACAGGCAGACATACGACCATCAGTGGGCTGGTATTTTTGAGAGGCAGTTCTTAGGCCATGTGTGTTTGAGAGCTACTCTGTGTTTGTGCATAGATATTCACCAGGATTTTACGAAGTCTGAACCTGCCAGTCGGGGTCAATCAAATGTTGGCACCGCGGTATCTGACCAACTCCTACGACATTGGACACTTGGTGTTGTGGATCACAGCACTTCTGGTATGTAGAGCAGATCTGAAAATTAAAAAGAAATATTATTATTTATATTATTATACGATTTCTTATTTTTTAGATTACTTAAGAAGTGAATAGGATTGACAGTTAAATAGCATGACCGCCAGGAAGCTATATTAAAATCCTTTTTGAGCAATGTAGGTCACTAAGCCTTAATTAAAGAGCAGAGTCTTGTTCAAATACAACAGACAGCATTTGCACGAGTTGCATTTTTTTAGTATGAAATTCGTCTTTTGTGTTACATTATTTTTTACTACATTGGTTACATTATGTATGAGCTCTAAACCTCCTGCTCCATTTCTCTTCCATATACAGCACTTTATCATTGTCTGCCTAAAAAAACCCGCATCTGCTAAAAATATTGTTGATGTTGTTTACAAACTGAGGAAGATGATAAAAATATTTTTCCTTGCAGGGTGGACCAGGAAACCCTGCACAGAAACAGCTGACCTGCCTTTTCAACAGCATCGCCTCCTTCTACCATCCCTCCAATCACGGGCGCTGGCAGGTAAGTCTTTATATTTCATTACACACACAAACACACACACACAAACACACACTGTGAGCAAGTAATAAATGTGTTTTCAGCTGCTTGTTGTCACACTCCTCTGATTTATAACCTGTCCTTCAGGACTTGGCTGGTTTTCTCCTCTTTAACATTTTAATAATGACATGCACCAGCACAGGAGAAGAGAATGATGTCAAAAGATATCACCCACTCTGTGAATGTGTCTGCTGGTGATAAGGCTAAAGTTGAATGAATACGTGTGTGTGTGCACCTGCAGTCTCGACTAATGCGGCTGCTTCAGCGTCTCCCAGCCAGCGTTGTGCGCCGTGTGCACCGGGAGCGTTACACTGACCCCAGCTGGATCACTGTGGTTCCCGAGGGTCAGAGACTTACTGATGCAGACCTTCAGGAGTTCACACAAAGTCTCATTGGAGCCGCCCTTCTGGCCATGTTCAGGTAGAAGATTGTACTATACATACAGTTCTGTGCACAAACACACACACACAACATAATTTATCTGTTTTAAAACAGTAGTAGAACAAACAATGGACCAGGACTCTAATGAAAAAAGTAACAGATCCATTGTAGGAGTAAAAGGACAGTAGTAGAACAAACAATGGACCAGGACACCAGGATGAAAAAAGTAACAGTAACAGATTAAAAAGGCAGATTAAAGTAAAAGAAGATTTTGGATAAACACGACACAATTGGTGCTAAATTAGCTGGAGAGTTAACACGTGTTGTTGAAAATAGGTTTTAAGAAGGCATTTAAAAACAAAGACAAACTTGTGCTTAGTGGGAGACTGAGAGAAACTATTTGTACTCAGGCAGAAATAGAAAATATAGGTGTCACAGTGGGAGTAGGTGTGAGCTGCAGCAACCCTGGTTTAAACACCACATTTCCTCCACAACTCTGTTCTTTCCCTCTTCAACAAAACTTGTGCTCAAATGTATTTATTTTGCAAAGTTGGTATTTCACCCCAGGATTTTTACAGTTTCATCTCAGCAGCACTGTTTTTTGCCCATTTTAAATCACAGCTCACAACAGTGAGGCAAGACGAAAGTAACTTACCAGCATCTTCAGCAGTGTCATTAAGTTATTTTAGTTCTGCGTTGGTGCTGCTTTACCAAACAACTGGCTTGGATTTTCATCTAAATCAGTCATGTTAGGGGCAGAAATACACCTACTTTGGAGTTTACGCTCATACTTTTTTTTTCTGTGTGTGCACACATGTGTTCCCTCCCCTTTTGATCTACAGTAAAAATGGCAGTACAGATGCAGCCTACGCGCTACAGAACCTGGCTCTCCTTACACCAGAAATTGCAATACCCCATGTTCTAGAGAAGTAAGTATCTATTTTCTAGCTCAGTCTGTATATATACATATGCACACTCATACAGTATATACACAAATGTATACAAATATAACATAAATATAACATAAACAAATGTATACAAATATAACATAAATAACATCAAATTCTACCTTTGGGTTATTTAGCCTCTGTGACTTTTAATGTAAAAGGCACCTTTGGAGTATAGTGTGTATATAGCCACACAGTCAAGTTCTCTGGAGTGACTATAGTTTAAATGGCTCGAGGTTATTGGGCTGTGATGTGTAAAAATGATTACTTGATGTTTATAAAAATGTTTTGAGCGCAGCTGGAGATGTAGCTGCTGATCAGAGCTGTTATGATTCCTATCATGGAGACAGTTACACTGCCTTCACAGCAGGGGGCTGAGTCGGAGGTGGAGTACTTGGTTAGAAAAGAGTACGTTAGAGAGAAAGTGAGTTTAACTGGAAAATATGAGACATATTCACTACATTTACTGAGCAGGGACGGTGGACATATTGGACAACAGATGAAATGGTAATGAAAGAGGTCGAAGAGGACGTGGGGATGAATTGTAGGAAAATAAAACAGTGTTACGTAAAAAAACAAAGGCTAGTAATTGGGATCAGATGAAGACAAATGATCTGTGAGCTGTGAAAAGAAAGAGCAATTGACCGTGGAAATAAAAGATAACATATAATTAAGAGAAACAACAAAAGACACAGGGGTGTTGGGTATTTGAAGTGAGATGTGATTCAGCAGAGCTGAGTGTTTCTTTGTTGCACTTTAATCAACAAATTCTGTCCCATCCCAATGCACATGTATTAAATACAGAGCTTCTCTGTTATACCTCATCATTCCTGCAGACTGAAAAAAGCAAAAAGTTAGTTAACAGTTCATTGTGGGACCAGTAAAGTGAAATATCGCTACCTTAAAAAAAAACTAAATTCTCTCCTTGAATGTGAGTCAAACAGCTGCTGCGAGTGTTGATAAGCAGGAGGAATCAGCTGCTGAAATGCCAAATTACCCTGCAAATGCTTTCAGAGCAGTGATATGCACCTGTGCTACTCACTTAATGCAGTTACTTTACTCTGTCTCTTTGACACCCTCCTCACACACACACACACACACACACACACATCCACTCCCTCTCCCCCGGCTCTGTTCCCAACACCCTTGTCTTTTCTATAAATCAGGACCTACGCAGCCATGGAGACCCTGACGGAGCCACACACCCTCACCGCCACCCTCAGCTGCATGATCGGCATGGCCCGCAGCCTGGTTTCCCCTAACAACCATTACCCAGAGGGCCGGACGCACGTGCTGCCGCTGCTCATGGGCTGCCTGCCAGGGGTGGACCCCAATGACTTCAGCAAGTGCATGGTGGGTAACACGTGTGTTGATTAGTAATGAATAACCGAGAGCAGTGAGCAGAAGCTGTAACTCTTCCTGATTGAATTCCCTCCCAGCATGCTCTGCTTTACGTTATTAATTATTTTCGAATGTGGAAAGAATATCTCAGTTTGAAGCACTCATAATTAACGTGACGCTGTCTTTAGTCTCTGCTCAGATTGTGAAACAGATCAGTTTTCCCCATTTGGCCTGCCAATTGTCTACAGACTACATCAATTCAGACATTAGAGAGAGTTAATGTATAAAAGCTCTGATACATGATTCCACAGACATCTGGTGGCTCATTTAACTTTGGCTCCTTATCAGCCCCAGGAATGTTAAACTCCCTTTTTGTCCCTGTGTCCAGATAACGTTCCAGTTCATCGCCACCTTTACCACTCTGGTGCCTTTAGTAGATTGTTCTTCTGCTGCCTCTCAACACTGTGGTCTCACCGAGGTAAAGTTTAAATATTTTAACAAATAGGATGGTAAAAAATTTCAAAGCATGTCAGTTTATCCATAAAGATAAGCCTCGGAGTTGTACAGTATTATTCCCATGAGGTATTGCATTGGTTTCCAATTTTTTTTCAGTGCCCCCATTTTGTAGATTGGGTTATTGTTTAGCCCCTCCACTCAGTTTTCATGAACTCCACTGAATTTCATAAACAGATAATTCCTACAAAACGGCTTTACTCATTGAACAAAGGAAAAATACAGACCAGTGCAAATTCTCCACTGTACAACTAATAAAGAAAATACTAAAATTGAAATTGCCTTACCGCACTCCTCCTCAAGTCCTCTCCCTCTTTGCTGTTTTTTCCCCCTCAGATTGAAAAAGACTTGTGTTTCGCTTCTGCAGAGTTTGAAGACTTCATTCTCCAATTCCTGGACAGGTAAAGACAATTTCAGTCACAGTGTAAAACTTCACAGTTGATGCTGAAGAGCGTGTCCCTCTGTTTGAGATGCACTGGTCTGCATCACCAGCTGTGCTGACTGTATATAAAACTGACCTTTTATTATTTTTATTTTTTAGTGTAGTTTTATGTCCACCAGCTGTGGGTGTACACTATATTAAACTATGTGTACGTGTGTTGCCCACTGCAGGTGTTTTGCCCTGATAGACAGCAGCACTCTTGAGCAGACCAGGGATGAGACAGAGACAGATACCCAGACTCATCTGGAGAGTCTGGTGGAGCTGGGCCTTTCAGCCACTGTTAGCACCATCCTCACACAGTCATCTAAAGACATTTATAAGGTATTGTTCAAAGTTTCCATTTTTTATTACAAGTTTTTATTTAGATTTAAACAAGGTATAGATTAACAGTGAACATTTCCTGACAAAGTAACTTCACAAGCTGTAAGTAGAGTTAGTAACAAATAGGTTTTTGTATCATTTTGTATCTTTTGTATCAATGTTATAAAAGAAAATAGCTTAAGAGAAAATAAATAACATACATATACA